AGCATTCAAGAGGTTTGTGTCGCGAACTCGCAGTACAACGACGAATAACGGACCGACACGTTGCTGTGTCAACACGAATCGATTATATTCATAGACACTGCAGTGTATTGGAGGTTTTTACCCCTTTTTCCCATATACAAAGGAACTTATTTTTATTACGTGGTGAAAAGCCAGATACGCATAGATAATAAATATATTATACAGAAAACTGCATATTACACTGATAGGATAATGGTCCAAAAACAAAATGTTATCGTCTACATATAAAACTCACAATCGAATTTTTATGAGAAATGAAATTTGTATAAAATATTAATTACCTGCATATTCAGATCTGTGTTAAGTCACCTGTTGCCTCGGGGAAAAAATCTATATGTGCCTCCTCCCATTAATCTTTCCATTTAAAAAGGTGAGATTACGCGGGTATTAAACCCCCGAATCGAAAAGACGGACATACTTCGCATGTAGATGGGCTACTGTATAGGTGAGAAGTTAAGAAGATAGTAGAGGAGAAATTGAATGTATATCTGTAAGTATCGATAAACCATTGCTAACGAAAAAACGATTCTGAACGGAGTTCAGTTGATAATGTTGATTTATCGACAATATATATGATATACTATGGTAAAATAATTACTTAAAATACATTATATCTTTTCTTTAATAATATTTGTTTAATATTGTACCCATTTATTGGAAAATCCCTTGGAAATTCAAGAAAAAAACCTTTTTAAAGTACTACCCCAGTCAGATATATATTCCCTTCAGAAAAAGTGCTATCATTGTAAATTTGCACAACATTGCTGATAGAAAAGTTGTTCGCATAAAAAAAAATAAACATCATTGTAAAACCCAACACTTGCTTCATTCAAAATCTAAAACATTGACTCTATATAGTGTAAACTCTAAGGAAATAATTTATTAAACTTCACCTCGCCCGTCTCACAAACTTTAGACGGCAAAAACGAAGAAATTATTGACTTTGTCGACTTAAAAGCTATATTATTGTTCAATTTCCTACTCTATATATAGTCTACGTTTTCGAATTGGCCCTTCTATCCATCTACAGTCCTAAACATTGAATTATTCAAGAGTAAGGGTCGCGTTTAAAATTATACCTCAAACATAATTTCGGTTTTTGTATTTTCACGCGTTTAATACAATAAATGACACGTACGTTTAGTTTCGCTCGATAAGTTTATTGAAATATTATATTTCGATATTATACTCATCCGATTATGATGTGTTGAGCAAGACAACGCGTCATCTGTACGGTAAATATTGAACGGGATTTTATCGAGAGGAATAACTATACTGCGTTACACCCGCAGTTTCGAATAAAACATATTATTCCGGAAAAAAAGCCTTCATTTTTTTACGGCTTAAAATAAATTGTTTTCGCGTGTTGTTTCTATTTCGTTGTTGATATACATCGTCGAGTAAATAAAACTAAATTAAAATCGATTTACCGAAAACAATATTGATGACGTTTATATTAATAATAATAATAATAATAATAATAATAATAATAATAATAATAATGATAATAATAACGCCGAATTTTCCATTGTCTTTGTATTATATTGTATACCTATATTCAGTGCAGTGGCGCATTTACATGAGTGAATCTGGAAATAGATCCGCTCTTTGTGTGTATAATATTGGATATACTCGTAGGTATATATTTACAATACGTAAAATTACAAAAAGTCAAAGTTTACAATGCACTATTGTACAGGGTGTACCATTAATGCACGTATACCAATTATCTACAAGAGCATTAACTTTTTTGTAATTTTAATAGACAATTTAAGAAATAAGCAGCTCTACAATTAAGTTATCCTTATTTTTGAGGATAAAATTACTACTTACTTTTGATTTGCAAACGGTGACCTATATTAAAAATACCATTTATAGACACGGAGTGTTAGTTGAAATACAAATTTTTGTTAACATTTTTGATTTGTGTCAATCCGAGATATTCCACTTTTTAAGTTTGCATCAGCGGAGATTAGTGGTTAAAACGCAACGGACCATGCCGTCACACAATTTATGTTCTACTACACTCACCCCCGACCCAACTTAAAAAAGGAATATCTCGCCAACGAATTGACGAAAATTAAAAATGTCAACGCCTAAATTTATTTTAATTAATACTACAGGTCATAATTTTAAAATATCTGTGATTATTTGTATGATTCGTATTATACACTGTCGACTGTATAATATTTGTTAAGTTTTGTTTTAAGTGTATTTACTTGATTATGTTATGCGGATATAATGATAAGTGCTATATCAATTTCAATTTTTTTAAATTTTCGATGATTTACCTTTAGGCATTTTTTCGATTTATTTTCTCGGAAAATACCTCCGTTTCAATAGTTGAAACTTTTCTAAATTGTTCGCATAATACTGTAAAAAAGATACAGATTTGTTGCCCGGTGCTTCTTTATTTAAAAAAAATTTCTGGATTCAAAATAGTTTTTCTACAAAAATTTTAAAGTCGAAAACAACATATGTCAATACATTGGATTTCAGTTATCATTAGAGATATGATATTGATAATCTATTCCATTAGTAAAATGGAACAAAAACCTTTTTTTAAAAATGCTTTAATAATCTAAAATCTATGATACATATCCAAAAATTAAAAAAAAAAACCTCACCGTCAAGAGAATAATTATCGTTTCTAATAAATTAACGTAAAAACCTACGTAGACGTGTACTTTGCATTAAAATGTTATGGCAATTACCTAAAATACATAGAAATTACAAAAAAAAAAACAAATTTATGACAGTGAATGCCCAAAAACGCTAAATAAAATGTATTTATTCTGCAACAGTGATCAACATCGTATACTTATAGTAGTATCGTCTATTTATCTACAAGATAACCGTCGCGCTTATCTGCCTTTTGACCACCGTTACCGCGGTGACCAGGACCGCGGCGATTGTGTTCCCAACGTTACACGCTGCAGATTATAACGACGTTGCCGTTGTACGCGTGTTATTATCATCAGTTTGCGATCTATAGTTTATTACGTATCCGGTGAGAGCGTATAACAGTTGTATCTATAATCGGACGGCAATGGTGTAGCAGATACCGAGAAACGGTATCCGCCGCGGGGCACGGACACGACGATTATATAATATTGCGTTATTACAGTTTGGCAACATTTATAACGGCCGGTTGAACATAACACGGCGGGTATACCTGTACCCGAACGTACATTGAAATTCTACCTACACGGTCGTGCCGCGATAATATTATACCGGAAACTCGATTAGAAACTTTGCGGCGCGAACGCTAAACAAATATATTGATTGATAATATTAATATTATATATTATATTAGAACAACGCGATACGACAGTGGCGGCGGCGGTAAATTTGTCTTCGGACGTGCGGAACTATACGTGCGCGGCGGCCTTATTGCGGAGCCGTCACCCGGGGCACCCGGGGTTTCGCTCGACGACGACGACGACGACGTTAACGTTCGAAACCCGATAATACCCACCGTCGGCCGGGGATAAGCGGAAGGATAGGACGGTTAGTGAAGGGGGAGGGCACGGCCCGGCGAATTAATATCCGGCAATTTGTCTTCGGTCACCGTCGAAAAGGATCGTGTCGCGCGGCGCCTGCCGGCGCCGCGCACCGCTGCTAAACGCGGGCAATCGGGGACGCGAGGGCAAAACAAATTATGGTCCGATAATATAAATGATGACACGACACGGCCAGACCGCCGCGGTCGAGACCCTCTCGAGACCCGGGGGGCCGGAGAAGGCCGGGAGAAAAAAAAAACCCCGCGGAAAGCGGAGCAAAAAAAAAGAAAAAACCGCGAGTTCCTAACGCTAATGGCGAACCGAAAGTACCCACACGCCGCCTCCGCTCTCTCCGGCGTTCGTCTCCGTATATATTATTATTCTTATTATTATTATTATTATTATTATAGTTTGCCGATTTTTCTTTTGAAATTCAAACTACCTACCCTTGCGCGCGCGCGCACACGCACACACACACACACACACACACACACACACACACACACACACACACATATATGTATATACATATAAAATATAAAATCGCGAAACAAAAAAAAAAGAAAAAGAGAGTACGCATATATATGGCGCGCGCGTGCATAATGAACCGGTGGCGTAGAGGCGGCGGCGTGCTGCAGAGCAGGGGGCGGGCGCGAGGAGAGTCGGTTCCCGCGGCGCGGCGCCCGAACGGAGAATCTATCGCCGCGATAAGTCTGTTTTTGACTTATATCGAACGCCGCGGCGGCGCCGTACCATAAAACGACTGTACGAATGTTTATTAATAGCTTTTTATTTGTTGTGCGCGCCTTTAAACGGTTCGCCGTAATATTTTATATTGTTCTCGTATTCGCGCGAGGCCCGTCCCCCGCCCCCCGCGGCCACCACACTCGCGCGCCGACTCTTTTTCACCGCGACAGACACCCTTTTGCGTATTGCTATTATTATATACGCGCGCGCGGTTAACAGTCCGATTGATTGCGCGCACATCCGGCCTCATGGCAACGATATAAAACGCGCATTGTACACGGTCGTTACGATTTTCCCGGCCGACCGTTTCGTCCGCACGCGGACGTCATCGGACCGCGGCGTTTCCGAAATAATTTAATTACCGTTATCGCGTATTATTGTCGTTAGCGTTGCGATTGCACCGTCGGCGGATTGTATCCGCGAAAACCCGCGACCCCGCGCGCGAAAGCCGTGTCGCGTTTTCGGGCCGAATCGACCCGCGATACAATGTCAAACTGGGTGCGGCGGGAACATCGGCTGTTGTTATTTTCCGCGACATTTTATGGTAGTCGGTCGAAATACCGCGGCATTCAAAAACGCCCGTTAATATCTCGATTGCAAATATTAAAACACGGAAAAGCCCGATGAAGCTGCGCGGGGATCGCGTTAACGGCATTAAGATCCGTCCACGCTAATAATCAAAACTAACAGCGCGGCGTTTTCCACGCCGAACGCTGATTGGGTGTGTCGTACTGGACGGAGACAGGACAGTGACACGCTGGTTCGCAGACGGTAAAACCGTGTGGCCGACAACTTTCCGTGCCGACGTCGCGACAAAACCGATGCGTTATTTTCGTACGACGGAGCGATTTATCGGCGATCCTGTCCGTTGGTTAGGTTTCGTTGACAATATTTCGCCCGCATATCAATTGCCGTTAAACAATTTTACTTATACAGTAGAACATACCCGTTCGCCCCGAAACATCCTCTTGCCCGAATGTCGTCCGTCGAGAAATCCTGCGGCCACGCGATTTTCCAATAATATCCAACGGACAAGCGTGTTTGTATAACGTTTCGTACGCATGGCGATATTTATCGTAGATCCCGTGCCGTAGCCGCCCGTCCGGAAATTCGACCCGTCCTACACAAACACACACGGCCATCCGCGTCACGCCGCCCGCCCGCCCGCCGCGGCTATAATAATGAACGTACCCGGCCGGACGAGGGTCGTCTATAGGTAGGTGTAACCGGCCCGAAAAACGCACGGAATGGTTAATAATATTACGGTAACGTCGTATAGCCGCGGTCAGAGTAAAAAATTCGCGATTCAAGGCGACTCCCGAAAAACGGTGGCCGGTTTTACAGCGGAACGAGGTTCGCCCGAATATCGAACAATATTCCGCAGCCCTCCGCGGGTCACGTGGCCGAGGAGAAGGCCCCCGGCGGTCGGGGAGGATTTCGTTCGCATTTCGTTGGCCTATTGTTGGTGTTTGTTTTTTTTTTTTTTTTTTGTGCACGCGGATAAAATATTTATTATTGTTATTTTTTTTTTTTATTCTTTACCACGTATACTTCCTAATGCTATGCAAAATGCAATAAAACAACGCGCGGTAACGGAGCGGGGAAATAGCGGCGCTTTGCGTGTTGCGGAATTTTTCAAACGCCGCCGCCGTCCGGGTGTCAGCTGGCGACTAAATTGGGTAAAGAGATTCCTCCTTTATTATTATTATTATTATTATTATTTTTACATTATGAACCGGACGAAAAATGCGCAGTCAACAGAAAAGAAGAAAGGCGTAACTTCTGACCGCGTTATAGATTATAATCGAGCAGAGAAAACGGATGAAAAATAGACGGAAAACGTATTTTACAAGTGCATCATAACGTTAAATATAATCACGTTAAAAAAAAAAAAAAAAAAGTCAACCAACGGCAACAATACAATACTGTTGAGGTCTATGCGTATTCGGTAAAAATGGACAATATAAATGGCCATGTTTGTGTTGTGCACATTTCTTTGATCATTTGATCATTTGTAAACAGTCATTAATACCTAGACGCATGACACTTATCGGAGACGAAACTCGAAATTGTGTAGACCTACCGATTCGTAAGGAAGAGATAATGTACATAAAAGTGCACAACATATGTGTCTGCAAGATTAGACATTTGCATAATTTTTTTTATGGTTCACTATCGTCTAGTGTTTACATTTTTTAAATGTTTCAAATATTCCATCTGCTCGCAACAACTGAGCGGTATAAATTAACCGTTCTATTTCAGAGAACACAAATATTCCAAATATATGGAACATTATTTTCTATATAATATGACAATGATCTGCTCCCCTGCTGCGGCTACAAAGCTATGGGATTATTCCGCTCTAACAATAGGGTATTTTTTTTTTAGTTAATCACTAAGTACCTGTTTAATAAACGATGACTGATGATGGTCATGGTCAAATTGTGACTGGAATTCACCAATGATTTGTATGCAAATTCGTATACGCGTAAAAAAAAATGCCATACTATTCAAATGTAAATAAGATAACGATTAAGATTAGTATGTTTTGCCGTCTGCAAACGACTTTTTCACTAGAAATCTACTTGCTCCGATCATCAAAATCGGGAGTGGTTTCTAATCTAATGTTACATTATATAACAACCATACAATATAAACTAACTCGAGCACTGCAGTTTATGCCTAGCATTTTATACGACCAAACTGTTAACGTTTTTGCGTTTGCATATTTTTTAAACGTTAAATAATCTATTCCCATAAAGAAAAACAATTCGTCTAACACCTATATTATTGTTCTTTTATAATTTTTGTTTGTAAGTTCGATTGTCTGTAAGTGTGTGGACACTATACGTAGAGCGTCTAAATCAATTTTTTGAGTTTTGTAAATCGTATTCGTATCAACAAATGGTATTTTAAAATGTATTATTATTATTTGTTTATTTATCAATCCGTTTCTATAGTACTAAGTCATTTGTTAATACATCTGGCATATCAAATTATAATATTTACATATAAATTTGTTTTTAATGCAATAAGTATCGATACTCATTGTATATATCAGCATTACTTGTTTACATTTATAATCTAATGTATTTTTTTTTCAGTTAGTAATAATATAAAGTGATTCAAAAGTAAATAGAATATTTTATTTTTCAAATATTAAACAATATGAAAAAAAAAAAACCTTACGAGTAGATAATTTATTTATCTTTTTATTTTTCCAAACGTCTCTGTATACACGTCATCTCACGACAATAGTCCGAATTTTCACTTTTATTATATATTTTACGAATTGCTTTTTAATTCTTTTCGTTTTATCGCTGTAGTTACAGTTGAATTTTAATTTATGCAATCTCTATGAGTCAACTTTGTTAGACATTGATGGTGATGATTTTGCAGTAGTATTACGCAGGTGCCCAAACCTATTATCAAGTGAAATATTAAACTCTACGTCATCGTTTGTGTAAAAACAAATTTGAATAAAAGTAATTATTTACGTGATCCAAAAACATTATTGCCATTGATATTTATATTGAAAAATATTCTGAAAAAAAAAAACGAAATCGATACACGAAACGATAACGAAATTATTAGCACGTGTATCCTCGTATATATGTAAATGACGGTATAAATTAAATTATACTAAAATCCTACAGAAAAATGGTTATAATATTATACCTGGTAATCGGAAATAATATAGTCGTACCAATAATTTATACGTAAAAAATGTCTTAAGTAAACATAGTCATGTGCCAAAATAACCAGGTAAAAAAAAATATTATTTTTTATACTTGACCATTTTTGTGTTTGACCATTATTACCTAAAATTATTACTATGAATGGCAACAATTCAAAAATACGAACATACTTCGCATAATGTATGGACAAATGTTGTAGGCGGGAAGTTAGGAACGATAAACCATTAATTATTGCTAACGAAAAACAATTCTGAGCGGAGTTTGATTAGGTAAGATTAAGTTAGTTTAAGTTTCGTCAAAATTCAAATTTTTTAAATTATTTAAATTCTTATATATGTATACATATATATACACACACAAAAAAAAAAAAAATACTGCATTAAACTCTAAGTAACTCTTAACCACCAAATACAGCTTAATATAATGATCCTCCTGGTAATTTTTATATATATTAATATATTCTACTGAATAAAAATTACCTAAAATACTCGTAAAATAAAATGTTTATAAATAGTTTAAAAATGTCTCAAATGTTTTGAGTCTACGTCTACAAACGTCCAAATGTCAAGTCTCTACGAACATTTTTAACTGAACTCAATACATAAATAAAATTGAAAATAATAGAAGCATTATTTTCCTTCATTCAGAATCTAAAATAAAATATAAATCATTGTTATAGTGCCGGGAAGCTTCTAGATTCCATTCGTACGCGAATAACTGCCGATAAGTTAATTCTAATAGATCCATAGTTTGTTTTTAATCTTTTTATCGTTTCTGCACTAGACTCCAATTTCAAATAATAATCGATTTCCCTTTTTATTTCGTCGGTTTCCGATAGTGTGGTACAGGGGGAATTTTCGTTGTTTTTCTTCTTGGTCGTTAGCATTATCTATTGGCATTAAAAATGTTTAAATTAACGACGTAAAAAGTATTATATATTCTTCTTGCATAATATACGACAGGTTTTTTATCACCGTCCAACGATTAAGTACGGACATTTTGAGTAAAATATTGACTTTAGTTTTTTCTGCCGTTTTTATAGCAAAATCTTATTTATAACATTTTCAACATTTTTTAAATTATAAATTCAAATTTATTAATATCAAATAATCATTTTAAAAAAACAACCACCTAAACTTCTTTCAAAAAAAAACAAAAATCCGAAAAGACAATATATTTTTAAATATTTTAAATTGCATAACTGTTAGATAGGTATACTACGGTTTATGTGTTACAGGGTTTTGAAAAATGTAGACTGGAGGAGCAAAGAAGTTTTCATTAAAAAAAACGATTCTATAATGACCGATAGATAAATTGTATTCAAAATGTTTGTTGATTTTACTATAAAAAAATCACTCTGTATAATATTCTCTTCGTGCATTTACGTTGTACAATTATTCTAACGAATTTAGTAACATTTCCGATGGTATTTCAATGTGTTCCGTTCCGGTAATACGGATAATTTCCATAACACTCGTCTTATATTCCGCTCGGACAGACTGCAACGTTTTTTATCAGCCATGTTTACAAAGATAGGAAAAATACTTAGGAGGAAAAAATGATTTTAAATAAAACTGATGTTAATTACTTTGATTTTTAACTCTGATCTACAATCGTCATCTCCGAAAGTACACATTGATAAATATAACACAAAGTACACATTTTTGACGATAATATTATTATACCTATAGTTATTGTGTAAATTGATAAAATGCAAATATTATGAAGTATAGGTAAGTCGTAGTAATATTATCAACACCATCAACGACATAATAAAACCCAAAAATCAAACCCATTCAAATATATTTGTTTTTTTTACGAAATTTGTTTTTGGCTAATTTTTTGTTACATAATGGAAAAGGCAAGAGGCAAGCAAATGTAAAAAGCTTATTCCAATAAATTGTAATTACGCAGATATAAAAAAAATGCATATAATATACATTAGAAAAAAAAAACAATCGAAATACCAAATAATCAATAAGATCGACTGATATGAATCCGATAACCTGCAGCTCGTATAGATCAGTTATCAATGCCGTCCTACTTTATTTCAATTTATATCGCATGTTATAATTTATTTATAATTGATCATATAAATTCGTATGCCTATTAAGTAACAAAGAGACGATCAGTCGCGACCATCAACTGCAACTATCGGCAGACCTCGATTATAATATTATTATTTACCCAGCAAATCTTCAGGTTTATCAAATCGTAAAACATAGAAACTTTCAATAATATTATTATAGAAAATATAATGTACAAAAATAAATAATAATTATATATTCGAGTGTTAATATACGATGACGCGTGTTAAGTTTTCTATTAAACAAAACATTCGAACCAGCGCTGAATCGCAAAATAAAATACGTTTGTAAACACTTTTGTAAGTGCAATAAATACATTGTAGAGAAAAGGTTAAAATAATGTGCACTGTAATATGTGTAACACACTTTCAACCTATTGAAGAAATTTAAAACTACCGCCGCTGTAGTGGTGTTTTTGCAGGAAGTTAAATTTAATTAAGATGTTAATTCACATTATATTTATAATCTATGCAGGCATTCTATGTTAAATTATTAAACCCCACTTGTTGAATAATTTTAAATGCATACGGTATGTAAAAATAATAATATCTATGTAGGTACATTAAGTATAATTTATACTAAATAAATTCAAACCACCCCAGTTATAAACCCCAGTAAGGTCAACCGGTTTTCGTCGTGACATATTTGTACCTTAAAGTTCTAAAAATTCTTGTTTTCTCCAATAAGAAAAAAATGTACTACTATAAATCAACTTAAGCTGATGGTTGTAGCAATATTTCTGGTAGAAAAGTTAACAGACAAATGTGATTGTAAAAATGTTCGTACCTATATAATAGTTATTTATGGAGGAATATAGGATTAGGTCCCAGATACGTGCCTGTCTGGATTGCACATCGGAATTTTATTTTAAGGACTAGCCCTAATCAAAAATGTCATTACTAAACTATAAACTTAAAATATATTAACACACTGGGTTCTTTTAAATCTAATAATGAAATACTAAAAAAATGTCCTACTGATCAAAGAGTGGTCTTGCACATTTTTGTTTTGGACTTACGATTACTTGATAATAAGGAACCGAACGGATACCAATTTCGACCACTTAGGAGTACAAAGATTTGCAAACTATTGGTAATATGATAAGGTGATAAAGTGAGTTTACAATATTTGTATGCATGTTTATTGTTTGTCTAAAGCAATAACAATAATTATTATAAATTCAAGTTAAGTAATTCTAAAAAAAAACTTGTTTTCATTGCTAATTAAAAATAAATATCATTATATTATAATATAGGTCTGTATTTTATTTTGGAAAACAAACTAATACATGAGTAGGTAACTATATAAATAAAGAATGAATAATAAAATTAATGATGATTTTCGGTTATTACCTGCTGAATGTAATTTTTAACGGAAACAAAATATTACCCATTTTGTTCTGTTTTTGAATTTGCCATTATAACGTTTTGAAACACGAAAACGGAAACGTTAACAACCTCTGTGTTTTAACTAATTAAAAAGGTACCTATAAGAAGTATAATAGATAGATTCCTTATAACAATGTTTAAACCTATATAATTAAGCATCGATTATGTAGAAATGTGTGGGTGTTTACGTTCGAGTACTGAAATTTAGAGGGAACTACCATTTATCGACGACACTACAGTATAATTATTACTTGATAACATTTGTGAGTTTACGATTTTGGGAATTATTTACTTAACTTCTGTCGCGTAATCTCTACCGCGGAAATAAAGATAATATTATGATATAAGCGCTATTTTTTTAAAATATTCCACGAATAGGGATTATTGCACGGTATTATGTCTGATATAATGTATGCATTTATTTATGTACATGTATCTTTTCCCCGGTATATTTAGACAATTTAAAAATTCCTTCTGCACTGAAAGAGTTCAAACTCGGGAATTAGATTTTTGTTATATGCGGATTGAATTGATACAATTGTGATTCAATTTCAGTATGAAATTCCCCATGTTGCGGGAGGAGGGTGATTTTGTTTGGCTTTCTACATCCTAATAAGTGCTCTCAATTGAGCTCAGGAGGATGCCATTTTGTATATACACGGTGTAATTATCAAGGATACACCTTTCGATGGTTTCAACTTGCGATCATTTCCCCAGCAATTTGTATGCTCAGATATCATATTTCACAGGAAATATCCGGTTTTAAATACACTTTACGAAGAGTAAATAACATAGTTAAAATATATATAGATATAAATAAAATTGTTGTTCAGGATATGCCAGTAGAACAGTGATTCCCAATCTGGGGGGCGTGAACACATTTCTAGAGAGACGAAAATGGAGCAATAATATTTAGAGATGTAAAAAAAAGGATAAGTAAATATTTGTTTTCAATTCATAGGAGGACAGGCATGAGAGTTTTGAAAATCTACAAAGAGGCTTAGAATAAAAAAGATTAGGAACCACTGTTTTAGAAGTTTTTAATTTCAAAACCCCATATATGTTTGTAAGTAAAAATTCCGGAATTACTTTACCTATTTTGACAAATAGATTTTTGTTCGATTTGTTATGATGTTTAAAAAAAACCCCTTATGAAATATGGTAAGAAGAACAATTCAGACGATAGTAAATTTGACTTTAGTGACTTAACTCTGCTCACCGTGTATTTTTCTTATTTTTAATTTCGGATAGATTATTTTAAAAGTTTAAAATATGGAGTTCACAGCCAGGACTGGTATGATATTTCGATTATTTAAATAATTTGTAAACTGTATAATGTATATAATTATTACACAAAACCTACGAGCATTATTATATTATTAATACTATTATTAGTTTATAAACTATTTACTACTATAGTACACAATGCTTTTTGAATTGTAACTAAGAAATCTAATAATAATAATAATATCATTCCCATAAATAGTGTGTGGATTAATAATAATTATGATAATATGAGGGATAAATTTATGGGAGAATTGGGTAAATTATAATAAAAAAATATCACGATTAAAGTTAATTATTTAACATTTCACGTACGACAATACTGCCTTCTTTTTCTTCGGAGTACAAAAGCGGCCTCTTAGGTCATTTATGTTATACATCTAATAATTCAATCATCTATATATCTGATGTTTGCGCTTTCTATAATCTAATCCTCCTCCTAATTCTTTCATATCATTCTTGGCTACATCTTTCATCTAACTTAAACTCATTTTCCGGCCTCCAAGGTCCCTTTTTCCTGTACAATTACATTCCAGCACGGTATATGAATTGATGGGTTTTGGCTTCTCCAGCATTTCTTCAGATGTATTTTACAGTATTAGGTTTCTGATACAATGATTTTATAGTTCCTCATTTATATAAATCTATTGTCCACTCACTGTTCTCCATGTCTATTTTACATCTCCAACAACTTCAAACATAAGATATTTATATTTATCTGCTTTTCTTATTAGCTAATAGGTCTGCGAAAGAAAACACTCTCCAATTGATTTTATTTACATGTAAAATTTTATTCGAAAGGATAACGCAGGTTTGCCATTTATCGTGAGAAACGTTTTTTTGCATATTATTATAATCGAATAATAGTTTGCGATGGCAATTTGCCACTCGGCCCGTCTGTACTCCATTTTTAAACCATGAGTTTGGATAATATACAGGATTACGTGTACGTGTAGTACAGATCCTAATGTCTAAAACAAACAAAACATTTGACAACAATAGTTGTAACTACTATTGTACAGAGTAGGTACTAACGCTAATCTAGGGTTCCGATACAGCCCCATTTGGCAAAACAATCAAGGACCAAGAGTATTATTATTATTATTCACAATAAATATGTGTATTATTATAGTATACAGAGTAGTTGTTTTATCACAAAATAGTGGGTTATTTTGTCAATTCCGTCAAATATTTTGAATTGTTCAAACAATTATTTTTTCGGACTTATTATTATTATCGATTGTGCCAGTGCAGTTTTGGCGTACTAAAAACGAAAATTATATCAACTCTGCGCAATGAAAGCGTAATAAACAAGTTAAATAAAATAATTGTAACGTCATTTGCCTTGAATATACCATTTATGAATTATAATAGTTGTAGAACGGAGGAGTAGATGAGAGTAATATAATATCATATCCACGTTCAGAAAATCCTTGTCCAATGTTCCAGAATACATTCCTTACTATTATAACTTTTAGATATACGCTGGTTCATGATAAAATAAAAAAATCGTCCTATAGTTAAAATAACTAAAAAAAAAAAAATCTTAGTCAAAAAAAGGTTTAGAACAGGCGGAAGATGGAGTGTTTCTTCCTTTGTGATCCTCGGCGCTTTTAAATGTAATTAGCCTGTTACGATATTAGACACTAGTTTACTTTATTGTTATCGTGATTCGCGGCTACCATTGATTATATAGACGCAGATGCTGAAGCTAAAAAAGGAATGGCTCCCTCAATCCCCCTTACGCTCTAAATCTCTAAGTACTTTTTTATGATTAGTCCTCCCTGCTGTTCGTTGTCAGTCTTATATTATGTCTCAGATCGCTGTTCAAAGTGAATATTTTTAAATAAAAGCCGATTTTATTCAATTTACTATATAAACCAATATATTATCCAAAAGGTAAGTGAACGTAAAATTCAACGCTCAACGAATGTTTAAAATGTACATATTTTTATAAATAATGAATTTATGATAAATGATAAAATAGGTGTTTTCCGGGTTTACTGGGAAAAAATACTTTAATTTCTTTCTGTTTAAAGCATAACTTTCGTGTAAAGTGTAGATGAAATAGAGTAAACTTAAAATACTGCGTAGAAATTGAAAAGCGTCCAAAATAATATTAATAAGAATAATATTCTTTTTAATTATATAAATACATTTTAGTTTTTGCATAGTAGAAAGAGCTTTAAAATTATGTTTTTTTATTTGTTCCAAGAATTTTTCTGAGGGTAAAATTTTTTATAGAAAAGATAAAAAAAATAGAAATGTGATAAAAAGAAAAGAAAAAAAAAGGAAAGGCGATATATACGTTTGTATCTTATTTGCTTAGTTTATTTTTGAAAAAAAAATGATTCAATGTTTTTACGCTAAAAGTTCTTATATATAAGTTAAACGAAAATTTTTTTTTAAACGTTCAACGGTTTTTAATTTCTTACGACTATAAATTTGTATACACTGCACGGTTGTCTACATACAAATATATAATAGTGAAAGGACATGATTTAGATTTTTTTTTTTGTTTAATTGTTTAGAACAATTTGCTGATATATATATCCAGTAAAATAAATAAGCAACAAAAATTATTTTCAGACGCACTTCTTAATTAAATTATTTCAAAAGTTTAAATAATAAAAAGCTATTGAAACCCGTCTGAAAATGTCACTAATATATTATAATGATGTACGGATCTATAATCCTGGAATAGTTTTCAATGAAAAAAAAAAACAACGAGTGATAAGGTGACCGTCAAACTGAACCTGTTATCTAAATATGTCTTGAAACTGATTATTCATGTTCCAAGTAATACAATTATTAATTAATATAACTCATGCTATATTAACGGATTTAGTTAAATAATAACGAATGGATAATAAAAACGATTTTGTAATACAATATTCACAACGTATTTTTTAGAATTTTCTTTTTACAAAAATCGTAAAAATATTACCATAATAAGCCAGCATAAAAATAGGAAGATCAAAAAAATGACTACGATAGTAATCGACAGGAGAGCAAATTATTAATTCCTCTGCAGTTAATATGACGAATCATTTTGACTGCCGTGGTAAACAAACGATACATCGCTGTAGGTTATATACTCGTCTTCTTACCAGTATTTTATCTTAAATCGTGATAAAATGTCGAAACCGGTGTTATAGGCTGCACCTGTACTCTCCGCAGGTACCTATTTATAATATCTAATATCGTTTACGGTTTTATTTCTCATAGGCGTTATTTAATTTTAATTTTTTTTTTCTTTCTAAACCTGTAACATCCACCGTCATCAAGTCGATTTCCGAGTATGGTTATACACTTTCAACGCCGTTGCAGAGGTTTCGCCACGAGGCTTTTTTTTTTTTCCACCGCACCCATATTGTATACGAATATGTGTTTACAACGCGCGAGCTCGTTTATCACTGTCGACCGAACACGACAAGCTTTTAAAAGCGATATCCACAACACGCGTTCAGTACGCATTATTTTCGAAAATAAAAAAGGAAAAAAAAAAGGCGAAATTGTTTATATTATATCATATTATATTATACACATATAGCGGACGGTCTACCGTCGTCGCCGGCCGGTAAAGACGATAATATAAAAAAAAAAAAAAAAACAGCCGGAGAAACCAATACGGACTGGCCGCTCGGTATGACCAGTTACATGAAAAACTAATAAACGTCCGCGGTCGAAAACGCGTATGTACTAAATTAAATTGCCACGAATCGCTCTATCTCTAGACTCGTATAGACGAACATATTTACTCCCGCCGACGTCTTCGTTTGTTTTGCGGCGGTCCTCTGCAACGGTACACGAATCGTTCCGGGTGGTATTTTCCGATAGTACCTACCCACGTACGAGCATATCACGTATATATATACTAGATTGGTATACTTTATATGTACGGAAAATTTTCGTTACACAATACTACCCCGGCAACACGGCCATCGTGTGTATTTTTCACAGGTCAACAAACATAATAATACGTGACTTGCTGTTGTGTATACACACGTCTGGCTATACTGTACAGAGTGATTTTTTTTTTATTATGAACCGACAATTTTCTCGGAGGATATAAAGCGAATTTGATTTTTATTATTTCTAACCATTATGGAATCGTTTAAACTTTATTTTAAAACCATTTTTAAACTTTTACCCCTACTCCATAAACTTTAAATAAGTGCATACTTTTGATTTTCCAATAGGAACCCCCCCTTCCTTTTGAACACTGATTTGATTAAAGAATATTTTTCTAGAAAGTTTGATGTGCATCACACTATAATATCAGATTTGCCGTTTAAGAGTTCTAACAGTTTAAAGTTTAAACCGAAGTAGTAAAGATAACAAATTGAACATTATTTTAAAATAAAGCCTAAACGATTCTATAATGATTAAAAAAAACAAAAATCAAATTCACTTAAAATCCTCCGAGATAATATTGCTGGTTTATGATAAAAAAATCACTCTGTATAGGTACACCTATACGTTTCGATAAATCAAGGGTCTTCGATGTAAAACGTACTTTTTAAATTTTTATGAAAATACTGAGTTATACATTGATTGTTATAATGAATTTACTACGGCGAATCAAACAGTACTTATATCATAATTATAAATCAAACCAGTATTTCTTTTCGAGAAAACGACGGTTGAAAAAAAAAACCGCATGTATTTACGATGATTTTTGACCAAATTACAAAAAAAAAAAAAACCTGTATAAAGAAAACAACATAGGAAATCAAAAAATCGGCAAACGCGTGACAATCAAATAAAATTTGATCCCAGAAACCGTATTAAAAATCGATGATTAAAACAAATCTTCTGGTCGAAAATTGTGTATAAAAAAAGAAAAATATTTCGATAGTACACAAGGCTGTTATAATTTGTATTATATTTAACCCACAGGGAATTTATCTTTCTGCTGCAGTCACTCCATCGTCTAAAGACAAAATAACCAAAAACAGCAGATTACAAAGTTTTGAAGAAAATCGGGAAAAAGAGTACGAGAATCTGTCTATGGCAGAAAGTCATACAATAGGTAACATTATAGTGGATTGCTGCACCGGATCGGAGGTAAGTATAGTTTTACTTTATTTTTGCGAATTTATCGACGATCTTCAAAGCTCAGATTTATTTGAGTGGGAGGGAAACTGATGTTTCCGGAAAAGAATTATTAAAAGATTATTGTTCTGACGTTTTTGTGTTCAAGGCTAAATTATGGTTGAATACCGTATTTATTGTTGTAGAGCTCTCTTCGATATACCTAGCCAATAGTTATTATATACGAGTATAAAGCCAATGATGTTATAGCGAGTTTACACAAGTTATATCTGTTGCAACATAATTTTATATACCAAGTTATAAACTTTAAAAAGTAAGTGCTTCCTACCGTTGTACCTATCGCATAAAACGGAAACTTATTTTACGAGGCCTAATATTGTGTTTCTTTAATCGTTATTATACCTAATATTTAGTTACTATAAACTATAATATATTACTACAACACGTCGAAACTCGTTTGGAGTACGAATACAATAATTTACAATTATAATATCAGTTTTTAAAGTATTACTGTATAGCGATTCGTTTTACCTCGAGTTTTAACTCTCGGAAAATAATTTTCAATTGTTCAAAATGCTCCAAATTGTTTACATTGTACATTTGTAACTTATACCTAAGGCCCTAAGTCACGAATATTTTACCCGCTAGTACTCTATTCTAATATTTTTTTTCGTTTATTTCTAAAAAAATGTAAAATGCTTAAAAGATGCATAGTTATTGGTTTTTTTTTTCGTTTTCTGGATTATTTTGGCTACACAAATTGCTTACCACTTTACAGCGATGAGCTCAAGTCAGATTTGGTTTTTAATTGAAATGATTTATCGTTGATTTTACACTAATAAATTCTATGCCTTAGCAACTATACCTCCAGTGACCTACCCATAGTAAAAAATTATGTCTATCTTCTTTCTTCTAGATTCAGGGTGGAACGAGGGCACTGTTGGTTTTACTGTAATGTGTGTGTTTTTTTTATCTGCAAACAATTTGTTGATTAATTAACTTTCACCAATCGAAAAATCACAAGAGACCTTTTTTGTCGCATTTTGGATTTTTGGATCTAGTTGTTGAGTAGGAAAATCATATTATTTTTTTTCGTGTAGTTTTCTTAATAATTGAGCAAAACCGAAAGAATAAGTTTAAAGAACGGGAAAGCTTACGTACATAATGGTTTCATTGTTTTCAATTCTGGATTTTATTGTAATCCAGTTAAAAATAATCATAGATAATTGCAATTTATTGAAAGGATTTTCATAAATACCTAATTTACTTCTGAAAATGGGATGGCCATGCTTTATGTATTACTTTGTATACAGTGTTATTGCACTTAATAATTTAACACTAAATATTTCAACCAGTTGATCTTTAATTTGAATTCTGGAGATGATATGGGATACTAAATGTACATATTCAATGTATGCAACTCAATTTTTTACATTTTGAGTACCCACATGCACAATCAAAATAATTTTTTTTGAATAGCAGGAACTATTTTTGATATTAGATTTAAATAATCCTAGTTTTTCAAGTAATTTCGATCAATTCAACTAATTTCGTTTTCTACCTCTTTGTAACTGCCGTTCGACGTAATCATTTTAAAATAAATATATAAATTCGAAATTTTAGTATTACCTTTAAAAGTAAAGAATACCGTATACATATTACAGATATATATTATTTAAAAATATAATATGTATATCAAGTTTAAAATGACTGTAAAATACATCTATCGAGACATGCACACAGTCGCACGTATTGCAAAGTATTAAATGGAATTATCGTGTAATATATCCTATTAATATATAATATATATCAAAAGTGTACGAAATAATTATTTATTTATTTTTCCTAGAAGGAAATTTAAATATTATGAACAAAATGATAACATATTAATTTTTTTTTCAATCTCATGAGGAAGTTTTTTTTTATGCATATAATTACAAATTTGATTTGCTAAAGGAAATTAAAGACATTGAAGTTTAAATTCGAAATTTAATTAATTTCAAAATAATGCATGCAGATTAATTATTATTGTGAATTTTCAATAAAAATTATTCGTGTAGAATTATTTATTTTCTATTCAACGCATCGCAAACTATAATAACACGAGAGAAAATTGTGCAAAAATATATATAGATGAAACCTGAATATGTTGATAGCTGACTCTGAGGTTAAATGTATTTTTAATAATAATATTAAAGATAAATATATAAGTCATACTTACGATGTATATTGAGAAACCTCTTGAAATTATTGCAAAATACAAATTAAGTTTTGTTTCATCGTTAAAACAGGTTAAACCAACTATTTTAATTAAAATAAAGAAAAAATCGGAATTCGTCGGTTTTCCCATAGGCCTAGATAAGGTTAGGTTAGGTCAAGTTGACATTTTATTGGGGAAATATGGCATATGCAATTTACTATATATATATATATTTCTATTATCGATTAAAGAACTTTTTATAATATGTAATTAAAAAACCAAAGTCGATTTGGTTATTGAAATCAATTTGTTACATCATTATATGTATTATATATGAACAATGTACATTGCATATACAAATATCCATATATTATCTTCCCGCGTCTGTTTGACAAGCCAGATAATTTTTAAACCAAGTTTATTTTTAACTTACGTAATCGACATAAATTATAAACAAAAATAAAGTTTACGATTTTATTCATTAATTTTATTTTAAATTATAATTTTTTTCACTTACCATTGTTTAGTAAATTCTTATTAATTCAAAAATGCCAAAAATAAACTAGCGTATGGTGATAAAAAAAACTGGTAAAAAAAATCATCATATTTTTATATGGGAAATAATTCTGATCAATACACAACTATCGTTTCTAACATTGTTCTATTTGTTTCTAGTAAAATGCCGAAATTCGGTATAATAATCTACTCTGGGTTATTATCAAGAACATCATACTTGCCTAGTGAATTTAATCAGATTTCCCCTACAGGTTAAGAATAATATAGGAAGATTAATACGATTTATAGTAAGACAGATTAGATAACAATATTATAATAGCAGGTCATATACTATACGCTTTGATATCGTTTGATAGAGTTGATTATTGAAGATTATCTAGGCGGGCAAAATTGGATGATGAATTCTAACAATGGAATAATATAGGTACCGGAAATTCGTAAGGACACGACGACAATGAAAATGATTCGATAATTAAATGATTTGAGTTTTTACGGAGAAGTATGAACGGCTGTAACTATCCAATATTGTTCAAACGATCGAAGGCCAGGAGAAGTTGTTTTTATAGAAAGAACTGATATTTTTTCTTCAATAAATTGTTGCGTCCTTATCACTGCAGTTTGGTTCGAAACTTACCTGAAACAAAAAAAAATAAACAAAATCGTCATGCAATCTTCCAGATAATTTGCATATTAAAATAAACCATTAAAAAAATAAAAATTGCTACAACTGTATAATTATTAGTATCTATTATTACCTAAACAACATTTCCTTAAACATAATTGTCCACGAATACCAGTTATGTTTAGAGATATTAAATGTTTTTATTTGCACTACAATAATTGTAACGGTTCATCGATATGTTTACTGTTAAATTAAAAATTAAACATACTTAATTGAAAAAATAATTATGTATGAACGTAATATTAAACGGACAGAGAGTAAAATAATAAATGCAATATCAAATCAATATTGTGTATACTTTTACTAGTACTGCGGAAAATCGTCCACGTGGGAAATTTTACAAACGAAAGAGTACATATTTTCATAATTAACAAAGTTTTTATCGCACTACATTAAAAAATAAGTTTCACTTTTTAAAAACTTTACGCTACAAAAAATTATTGCTCCGGGAAATAAAATTGTTTCTTGAACTAGTATATAATTAACACCGAATACATGTAGCATTCTTGATAATAAAATAAATATACAATTTAGATTACCCGGAATAAGGGAGCAACTACTATACTACATAAGTTTTGCAATTATGTTTGCAGTTTTATTTTCGATTAACATTCTTGGGGCGTTGAATCTAATAATATATTAAATTAGAAAATGTCGTGGAATAAGATAAGAGATTGAGTATAGATCAAACTTTAAACCCACTACGTATCATAATAAATATATTTATTTTTTACATTTTTAATTGGACGTTATTGAAACAAACATCCGTGAACAGCAGAGTTCCGTCACAGTATAGTCAAATTTTCTTTTCACGCGGTTTTATATTTTATTTCGTTTCAAAATTGTATTTTATTTGCTCGACTTCAATAAGAAATAATCGTAGAAACGTACAAATTTTACCGATTATTTGTATAATCAATTTCTTGAAAACGATCGAAACATTCTGAGAAATTAATAATCAATTGAAGTTTTCGATTTTGTTTTTTTTTTTTTTATTTTTGTTTGGCATGAGTGTACAGAATTGTTTTTTTTTTAAATTGTCGAAAATAATTTAACTGAGATTCATCATACGTTTTACTTGCATAATAATGCGTGCGATAGTGTCCAGTGTCCTGATAACCCGGTGCCCCGACCTTATTTTCTAAGACCATGGCTGAATATTTTATATAGTATATAAAAAATATAGTTCATGAACTATATTCAACGATAAATTATTATTGTAAACGAAAAACGAGAGTTTGGTTAAAAATTGTATTAAATATTTAAATTTGAAAATATAAAAATAATTTAATTATGATGAACCATATGCAGTATCAAATTTTGAAAACTTTAATTTGGGTCAATACATCTGTACCCGCATCAACAATGCCTTAAAAAAAGCTCAGAATGAATTGAAAACCATTGTTTTGTAAATATTCCTATTTGTTTCCCTCTGATCATTTTACATTACTTTGAACAGTATACGGAAAATTAACAAAAAAGGTGACCTTTTGAATCAGCCAACTAGATCCAAAATAGTCTACCAGAAACTACTTTTCTTGAAGTTATGATGATCGGAGCAAGTTTTCTGGTTAAACATTTTTTACACAAACATTTATTATATAGTGAAACTAATATACATCCGTCACTCCGTGCAGAATCCAAAAAAAAAAAAAAAAAAATGCACATATATATTACAGAATTATTATTGCTTATACATATCATAATGATATGTTATGGAAGTTATTATTATAATATAACAGTGTAGTGTAAAATATGAATTATTTAAAAATATTAACTGGACGCGTAAAAAGTTTTTAATTTAACTTTTAATACCGCGCACTCTGGGGACTTAATGTTTTGTTGGACCGCGAAATTAATTCCGCCTCACGGAGGTGTTTAGGTATTCAAAACTAATTGAAGTTCAGTTATAAAGATATATATGTATATAAAAAAATAATAATAATAATTAAATAACGCATTACGTGCAGGTATACCTATACTTCTATAAAAAATATATTTTAACGATTCGTTTGTAAGTATATATATATATAAAATATACCATAATAACGTAGTTACTTCTAAGTGCGTCTCGTTCGCGGTTACGTGGTAAAACCGATAAAATTCCATACATAATGTATTCGATTAGACGTAGAGTATACTATATAAAATATATATTATATTGTAATATTATTAAAACGTTTCAACGTAAAATTTTATGTCGCCGCGCTACCGCATTAACATAATATTCTAGATTTTTAATAGAATTTTCGTTTTTCCAGAGGAGTTCACAATGAGCGCGTTATTTATTTTATTTTTTCGAAAAGAATTATTATTAACAAACAAGCTCGATTATTATTAAAGGGAATTTCGTTAAGGGCGTGTTTGAATACAAGTAGATAAATCAAACAACTGTCTAACAACCCCCATTTTTTTCTTTCTTTTTTTTTTTTAATCAACTTTAATTTTTTATGGTTGATCAATAATATTAATATAATGAAGATTATTGGCCGAGTTTCAAAAAAAAAAAAATAATAATAATAATAATAATCATAAAAATAATAATTTCAGTAAGCTGAAAAGAA